GTTTAAAAAAAGATAATGAGGTAGACTATAATTTGTCAAAAAAATTGCAAGTACAAGTGAAGATCATAAAATAATTTTGTTATTTTCTGGTCATCTTTTCACGGTTTATAAAATGTTCCAGTGGGCCTACTACTAGATCTATGTCTCTGAAGAACATTTTGCTGGACTTTATCAGCTTTTTTCATGTACTTGAAAGCATAGAATATAATAGTTTCACACAAATGTATGCACAATACTTTGAAAAAGAAAGATAAGGTCGTTGTTGTTGTGTTGTTGTTTTTTAATGGAATCTGTTTTACGTTGAGAAAAGCGCTAAAAACAAGGTAAACATTTTTAAGAATGCCCATAATATTAGGAATCCGAAATTACTACCTTGATCTAGTTTGCTTACTCTTTAATAACCATAAGCTGTTAAGAAAAAAGGAGAATGATATAGGATTTGTCTAAACATGACCATTTGTATTAGCATTATAAAGATATTGCCCATTTTGTCCAATTATCCTTGCAGGTAAAATCACCCTGTACTGCACCTCAATAAGCACAAAAAGATTATTTCTGTGACTTTGTATAAAGGTGTTTTGTAGTTGAGTTCTTTGTAAAATTCTCAACAAAATAATGTACATTTGGACCGTACAAGTGAGATAGACACTCATGCACACAATAACATTCACACATTACACACATACAAACACACTATTACATTTACTGTCTCTCTCTCTAGATCTCTCTCTCACCGCAACCACACACAAAGCAAACACATACACACACACACACACTCACACACACACAAACACACACACACACACACGCACGCACACGCGCGCACGCACACACACACACACACACACACACACACAACTCTTACCCTTGGTCCACTTACCATTTAGTATCATCCTTTATTTTGAAATAATCCCTCGCACTAAATAAAAAGATCAGTAGAATCTCGACCTTCCGAATCCATGGTTAGTTCAAGAAATCTACCATAAGATGTGGCCTAAATAAGATAAGGGTTTAGCTTATCTGGGCCACAGTGTGGCCTAAATAAGGTAAGGGAGGGGGGTTTAGCTTATCTGGGCCACAGTGTGGCTTAAATAAGGTCACCCGTGGTTTATATGAGAGGGTTTGAGTGCCTTTTTCAATACATGTGTTTAAGCAAACACTCACACAAGACAGACACGTTGTTCTCGTATTTTTAAAAAAAACCAATTTTTGGAGTAAAAAATAAGTGTTATACTGACATCATTTTCTCATTCTTTATCTTGCATTTATCTGAAAAGAAGAGATATACCAGTTTAGAAGCGTGGTGGATACAAATCAATACCTTTTGGCCTAATATATTTGATTAAAGTACAAGTAGGGCATTTTTAACCATCCGCAGGCAAAATGGGACAAATATTCCTCTTCACCGTAAGCGACCAGTCACAAGTCAGCATCTATGAATGAGGGCAATAAGTATGTTACTGTTGGAGACAGTGTAGCAAGCGGTGCATAGCTTAGTTTCAAAATGGTAAATTTGAATCAGTATTCTTTTAAGAAACAATTTTAAAAAAAATAGTATATATAAATCGGCAACGCTAATTCTATCTAATTAGTTAGTGTTTAAAACTTGCTCTAATGGAACACTCAATCTTTCGGGGGTGTTTTTACTTTCATTGTCAAGGAATGTCGAGTTAAAGGTTTTGTTACAACACGCACAATGCCTTGATCACATTGCACCGAAATGCCATCCGGGGAATCCCGCTGTGTTATATATATATATCTATGGCCAAATTTTTGCGGCACCTGTATGAATTTATTTTGACCTACCAATTTCTATATGATAATTAATACTAGATCTACAGTAATGCATCCAACCTGTTTATGTGTATGCCACAAGTGACCAAGTGGACGAATCCAGTTCAAACCGTTTCAAATTAAAGATCAAAACTGAGGGTGATCATGTCATGATTTTGGAATTGTGACAGACGCGATCGGAGACATTGTCCCCAAGCGAATGTAAACAAAACAGTCCATTGCGGTGATTATGCTAGCCAGTTACCTGAACTATTTTTGCTTGTTAAGTTAACATGGTACAAAGTTTACATGTAAATTATATACAACGCCCACCATTTTCAAAGAGGCATGGGAGCTAAATTTTCTTTTTAACTCCTAAAGTCTGCAAAAAGCCAAAGAACACGACTTCCGCGCTCCACAGTCACGGAATGTTTCATTTTGCTTCAACTAATGGGCTTTTCTAGAGCAATTTACAATGGGTGAGCCCGGTCATAGATATCAACATCCTGCAAACTTTGATCTTCTGGTCATTCTGTTTCAGATAATAAACCCAAGTGTGCATCTTTCAGCTTGGTGTATCGCCTTTGCTTAAATTGTACTCTTTCGAGTTGAGAATACCGTTTACATAGGACTTTCTGTCTCCCCATGTCAAAGTTCAAACAAAGACAAAGATAGTTGTTCAGATAGTTGTTCTGGTGTTGTCTTTTAATAGTGAGTAGTCCATTGATTTGGTTGAGCAATCACATCTGGGTTTCAGTTTCAGTTCATTAGTTTGTTTCAAATCGTCCTATCTCTTGATATGTATTGCTTATTGCTGCCCCCCCCCCCCTCTCTCTCTCTCTCTCTTCCTCTCTTACTCTCTCGGAGGTTAAAAAGGCACCTTTGATCTGTTCCAACGCCTCGAGTACTTTGAATGATACGTTTTCTTCATTGAAGTCTGGTTCTTCTACTATTTCCGTGCTGTATTTTCTGTAGCTTTCTTTGATGCCCAAAATGGTTCACATTGCTTGGCTTCTCAAAATTCCTTTTCTTGTTAGGGAACTCTGGTGTCAAATCAAAGAGCTTTCAACATCAAACAAGTTTGGGTTGTGATACAACACGGAAATGTACTTGTAATTTATACTTGACTACGTCTATTTTTTCTTTTTCATTTTTCATTTTTTTTTTGCAAACGGGCAAGATCAAAATTGTATAAGCACTACTAGAAGGGCACACACATTACACATTCGAATTTGACAGACAGTCGTGAAACAATACCAGTCCTGCATCTAGGAAATACACATTTTAATTCTGTGACAGAGAGGTTTTCCCGCAAAACGCATGCAGTCGACATCATAAATTATAATCTTTGGCCTGGAAACCGTGAATACTGACCGACCATTGTGTTTGCACAACGCAGTCGCCCATATTTCAATGGTCTAGAGAGGCGTTCACGGTGCCAACGGTCAGCCCCGCGAGTCATAAACCGACTGAAGAGACCGTGAATTCCACACAGGTGTAGGATTCACGGTTATATCAGGCGACTTTTGGGGACACGGTGTTTATTCACGATTTTCTTATTACGTCAGATTACACGTTTGAGTTGAGATAATGGAAAAATTGTTTTACAGGGACATGTATCTCACCGAGCACTATCAAAATATGCACAAAAAAAACGATTTTCGAAAATGTGTGGAATTCACGGTTTTATCAAGCGACTGACGACAAAAAGTCATGTATGATTTTATTGTGTCCAAAAGGGAATCTTGAAACTCCCATTTTGAGCACAGCCTCTCGTATAACTTCTTTGATGCAGCATAACATCTTTTAGCTAAATTAGTCTTAGCTGAGTTTTATCAGCGCTCGCAAAGTAACTGCATACGGTCATATGAGCGTCAAGGGGTGGATGTCAACAGAGAAGTCCTCACTCACAGGGAATCAGGCTTACTCTGCTCACCTCTCTAGCTTCAACAGCACAAAGTCTGCTTCAACTATCAAGGCACCCAGGAAATAGCGGGTCACAAGAGTGAGACAAACATACAAAAAAAGTAGAGGAAAATGACGACAGTAAGGATTAGGAAAGAAAAAGCAGCAGTTCCCTGTTGCAGTTCAGGCACAGTTATGAGCATGACATTGTTGGATCAGCCCATTTACAATTCTACTATGCATAAAACAAGTGCCCCCCCCCCCCCCTGGGAATGGCCTAAAGACACTTCAGTCAGTAGCACTGCGCCGGGGGTGCCTAACGTCTTTAGTGCACAAACACACTAGAGTGCGGCCCAACTGTTCTGGCAGCAGTATCAGTAGCACAGCAGTATCAGTAGTACAGTAGTATCAGTAGCACAGTAGTATCAGTAGTACAGTAGTATCAGTAGTATCAGTAGTACAGTAGAACAGTAGTATCAGTAGTATTAGTATCACTGACCGTGTTGGGTTCACACAACACTTGTGCGTTCCAAACTGAAAAAAGAGTTTCGGCACAGACTGTTTTGGCGACTAATTCTTGCCATTTCAATATTTCAATCTACTCAGAGTACTAGGAATCTAGAACGAAGAAGAAAATCAAATTCAAAATCCATCAAGCAACAGCCAAGTTATGAATTTTGCAAGTTTTATTGGACTTCATAAATAAAAATATAATGAAAAAGTGAACATTTCATTTGACACATTTGGCCATGGGTGGACCGCCGTAGTCCAAGTCAAAGGTCAAGATTGAAATCAAAGAAAATATAAATGGAGGTTTTTTTACGAGAGGTATCATGGGTGTCAAACTCAAGGCCACAGGGTCACTTCCGGCCTGACCAATCATTACATCCGGCTCCCGGGAGGATTCTGGGCAGTCTAGATCTCGAGTCTCCACTACACAGAACCTTACCCGAAACATAAACCAACTTGTAGACTTGCTGCCAACAAAAGATGCCAAACATTCAGGAAAATCGACTGGCCTTAATTTGTTACTATTTTAACTTTAATGTTTTAATAGATATTATTGTTTTAAAGAATGTAAGTGTCATTTGACTTTGGCCCCCTGTGCCATTGAGTTTGACACATCTGACCTACAAAATGTATATATATATAT